ATTTCTATGGTGATAATAAAATTAATAGCTACTTTTAAATATTCTATTGTTTATATTAAATACACATCTCGACGGAACATAGATGTCGTTGATTTAAATTCTTCAAAGTAGAGTTCGCTACAATTTTGAAGGGATTGAAAGTGGCGATGATAATGCGAGGATAATGTAGGAAGTGATGATGTGGGTAAGGTGAGGAAAGGTTGTTTGTGCGCGTTTCGTCTCAGAGTCGCTGCCTAAGGACTCATCATCAGTGGGGGGGCTGATGGCAGACGACTCCTTATAATACCCCACAGGAACGTTTGTTGTTGTAACTATTCTCGCTAGGCTGGATGGTCACCCATCCCTAGCGGTTCCGCACTCTGTTTTGCTTAACATCGAATATCGGTTGACTTCGACGCTAGGCGCACAGCCACTTTACGGTTTGTGAATGTTGGTGTTCGAAACTCGTACTCGAGGAACTATATAGGTCGCTACAATTTTGAATATGGTGCTGCCATCTGTTGGCAAATGTAGCGGTTAATATTATCACCATCTTTAATACCGACAATTGCCGATAGATATCGCCACCATGTCCAAACTAGAGTTTGTATTAATTGTATATAATTAATCAATTACGTATTAAATCAAAATAATATTAGACAGAAAAAATTTCCAAGAGTGCAATCTTTAATTTGCCTTTTGAATAACCTAAGTATTTGGCTAGTCTAACAAAATTCGATTTACTTCAAAATTAAACTTCACCGTAGGATGAAAAAATTAGTACCTTCATTTCGCCATAACGCTGTGCTAGTGTTTCAGTCTTTCAATCCATGAATCGGCCAAATTTTCGTTTACAAAAAAACCAGTTTGTTTTCTTTCTGCATCCCATTTAACTTACGGAATCAACGAACAAAGATTTGAGTATTCTTCCAAATACGGTTTAATTTCTTCGTTACCTGTTTTTAAAACTTGGATGAAAATTATCCGTAAACATGATTAAGTTTTACGTTTTGTTAAGATGAATCTTCATTCAAACGATTAGTTATACGCAATAACATTATTTTTCCGCTTATTTATTGCAGTGGTGATAACGATGTATCTCGATATTGTTGACGATGCATATCGATGTCCTGCGATACCGCTCATTACCGATTGATACAATGATTCGCGACACTAGTCTTCGAGTTTTTCCGTTACATTTTCCGTTACAGTTTCCGATTCCTGCCGGCAATGAAAGAGTGGTAGAATTTTCTAATATTGAAAATATTATAAATGTATACAGTGTTCCGAACTGAAACGGCCTAATCGCGAGGGTTTCATCTATACGTAAAAAGAAGAAAGAGATGTTGTACAAAGTTTGTCGAGAAACTTGTTGCATAGTTACAAACAAATATGCGTGTATGAAAACAGGTACTAACGTATTTTTCTTTATTATTTGATTTTTACTCGTGGAATACTTTAAAACAAAAGATTTACTTCAACAAAAGTAATTTCATATAGAGAACTAGGATGCAAGAAATTAAAAACATAATTTTATTGAAATTCAAGAACTTTATAGTATTATTAATTCTATTATTCGTCGATATCAAACTTTTTTTATGAAATTAAAAATTATCTTTTATTGTATTATTTCATAATTAATATTAGCACATGAGAAAAAGACATGCAATCTGTGTACTCTGTAATGAAAAATGTATTTGTTACTTATATATTTCATGTAAACAATATTTGTTCATAACTCTATAACAGAGCGTTTAGTGTCGAATTTTATATATATTTTTTATATTTTTTATATGCAGATTAAGCGCTCACAGTTTGGCTGTAATTTGGCCTAACCTACATAGTTTCTGTTTAGATTATATCATGTTGGAATCACCATTTTCTTGAAACCTCGGAAATCTCGTCCATTGAGGAAAGAAGAAACGTAATATTGTATAACTAAGATGGACATACTGGATATAGTATATATATATTCACACTATAGATAAGAAACAAGGGCAACAGTGGCGGTTGGTTCCATTTTCTCACCACTATGTGGCGATAGTGTTTCAGTGTCCATGATTCGATTCCATCAAATTTTCATTCGCAAGGAAAACTTATTGTCGAAATTAACTTGTGTAATGATCTTTTGTAAATGTATCTGCGTAATTGGAATCTCAATTTGTTTCCTGCTTTATGCATTCGACGTACGTATTGCGTATATAACAATGTACATACATAGCAATTTTATTGATATTTAACAATAATCACTTGATGTGTTTTCTATTATTTCAGTAGTCATTTATTTGAAGGAATTGTTTGAAATATATAATACGATACACTTGAGATGATAATATATAATATGTTACAGTTGACAGTTAGATTGTTTAATTCTCATATTATTCTATTTGTCTTTAGATTTTTATGTCACAAGATATATACATTGTACAAATTACATTATTACATATCATAACATATCTAACGAAGTATGATTCCTAAATTTTGGAAATTGAATTTTCTCGCGTTGAAATAGCAGCTGATGAACTGTTATGCTATAGAAAAGTATTGTTTCGAGTAATTAAATACTTCTGAAACAAAAAATGTATCCAGAGGCAAATTAGATTACTAAAAAAAGAGGAGTGCACACACGTATATCTTGAGTTATTAGACACTCTAAATTTGAGTTAGTAAGTTAGGAGTTGTTGCTTGATTTACGACAACAAAAGAGATCAAGTTAATTGGTAAAAAGGCGATTGACCTGCGGCAGACAGAGAGACAGAGGTCACCATCCTTCGAAACAATCAGTGACTTCCGGCATGCTGGGTACGTTTATGAATCATTTTGATATTTCTATATCAATGAATTTTATTTGTCTCTTTATTTAGATCGATCACAACATTCACTCAAGTTTCACGCACAACAGCAACTTCTTTTTATATCGTAGACGAATATGATTTGAACATATCCTGAATTATTTCTCTTTTCATTTATATGTATGTGATTCTTATTCTTTATTTCTCGTGTAAATAAACATAGCATAGATTTTTTACGTCGTGAAACACACGTATATTGCCTTTTAGCATTTGAAAAAGTATTTTCATTGTCATAATTGTAACTCTGGAGAGGAATGTTAACGCTGTAACGTGCCGCGGTTCCGGTGTTGTATTTCCGGCAGAACACACCCACTCGTCTTTGGCAGGATGAATTCATCGCGTATCTCTTGGCCTAACGCACTTTTATCTTGGGGGAAACGGCTGGTCGTTGGCCTACGTTATTCTTCTCAGATATTGATATTGATACAACTGTCCCTGAATCGCGTACAGCATTGTTAGTTACGCATATTTGTCTCTTCATCTTTATCTTTCTTTCTGACATTTACTTTACAATTTCCTAATACGATTATCTCTCTCCCTTTCAGATGCTGCGTCTACCAATTTTAATTTTATCCAACTAACATTACGTAACATAAAACACGTCGGAGCTTGCTCGTCACATCCTGCTACGCAAATTCAACAGAAAATCTCACGTTTTTCCTAAAGATGCGACATCAGTTGTGATAATGATAGTCCATTGGCTGGTAAAGGATAAACTCGCGAGATTCCTACCAAGATTTTAAATTTTGAATATGAGAGAAAACGATCATAAACGAAAAGTTTGGAAGAAGACGAGGTATGTAGGTACTAGCCGCTATGTGTGGGTGTGTCAGGCGTGGAAAGACAGGGTCGAATGCGGATGACAATGGTACCCGTGGTTTAGTGGTCAGTTAAACCGAGAATTTTTATTCAACATTTTGTACAACGCGACTCACTGCTCCTTGAGTATATGAATAGGATATAAATCGAGCATAATATAATGTCCATTCGAAATGTGAAGAAGTGAACACCTAAATGTAAAGAAGAAAACACTGAAGTAGATTTGCTAAAAAACTTCTTCCGTCTTCGTATGTACACGAACTCGGATCTGAACAAGACTTGGGCTTTTAAGTAAATAATTGACATCTGTGTAGTAATGTACGTAAATATACGCGTCCTTCTGTCGATGATTGATTATCGTTGATCTTATAATCGTTGTCTCAGAAAATATCAGATAAATGTCCTTTCTAATGATTAGATTTATTATTATTAATTGAATACCACTGCGATAGTGTATACGTTGGAGTAATACGAGTAAGTAGTTTGTAAAAGGTGAAGAGCGTAAAGAGTAAAGAGTAATGAGCAGAGAGAAAAGGGCAAAGACAGCGGGAGTAGCGAGCGCGGTTGGGAAGGAGGGAGGCATGAGACAAAGTGGGGGTACATGGTGACGAAGAAAGTAGCGTCAGTCGCGCGGCACGCGGCGCACCGTACGCGGTAGGGTATTATTTCGCGTCGTATTTTCCACGGTGCAAACGAACACTGCCTTTTATTTCAGTATTCGCAACTATTGTCAAAACCGATTAGCGTGATCCGTGAACATAGTTGGTTTTCACGCTAACTCGGTAAGAGATCAAAGCTGTATCCTAAAAATTTCATTCGTACAAAGGTGATTCATGATTGAAAATAACATGGGAACGTAAATATCAATGGGATGAACAAAGCTCGTTGTTTCACGATACTTTTTCACGCAAATTATTTAATTATATACACATGTACAGTGACGACGTTTTGTATATTGTTGGAAGTACTTACACAAGAACCTATATACATATATATATACATATACGCATATATGCATATATATATATATATATATATATATATATATATATATATATATATGTCTCGTGGCTGTGAATTTCGGCGATGGACGTATCGGAGTTGACTGTTTTCTCTCGTTCGATTGTGAGAAAGTACTATAGTGTGTTCACGTGTATCCACAGAAACCATAGAAGAGGTGCTTTCCAATGGCTGAAAAATTACTGCGGGGATAAATTAACTTGTTCCAGTAACGTGAAAGTCTCCTCGTTTAATAAGGCAAAACGTATTCCACGTACTTACTCATGTCTTTTCTTCCTTTTCTTTATGATAGAATTACTCGAGCCTCGCTAGGCATTGTATCCTTTGTGACGCACGTGCTTCCATTTTATCGCAGTGTCCAGCTTGGTGGGCGACTGAAAAATTGCTCAACTGTCTCTACTCACCACTCTCCACTCTCCACTCTCCGTTGACAATAGCTCATTCGTCCAGCGACGTTACGCTTTTCGATCGTTTCAATTAGTTTAGTTTAGTTTTTTCTTCTTTCTTTTTTTTTTTTTTTTTGTTTTTTGTTTTATTCCCGGTAGTCACCTCTCCGTCATTGGTCCCGTCCCTTCCTCTATTTTTTTNTTTTTCCTCTTTCTTTTTTTTTTTTTTTTTTAATTACTGACTTTGACTAGGATATTTCCGTTTGCGCTCGTTCCCTCAATCGTAAGTGCTCCAAATTTGTTCAGATCCAACTATTGTTCCATCAACTTTATACCCTTTGAATAATTTTCTGTTTTCTTCAATTTCTTTTTTTCTTTTTGTTTTTGTGACAAATATAGCCAGAATGTGCGTCAAGCTAATTCCAAAAAGACAGAGCGTATTGCGTTCGAAATTGAAACGCGCTGCTTTGAAAAATTCGAAGAAGAAAGCCCTGCCCTGTTTGAGTTTAATTTTAGTCTTCTACAAGCGAAGAAAAAAATTGATCGTGATGTCCGCAAGAAGGATGAACATCTTGCTCGGATTCTACTGCGAATGAAATAATATTTATATTTTGATTCCTTTTCGTTCCATAAATCTTGCAACTTTACATTTTTCCTTTTCAAAATTCGAGAATAATACTACACAAGTCGGGCAGCGTGTATCTATTTTTGACGCGTAGGTAGACGTTTATTTGATTTCAATGTAGCACTAAAAGGAAGTGGAATGTACGTAAAATTGCACGAATTAATCGTTGGCAAACCAAAATGGAGAAGCAAAAACTGGCAGAGTCCTTCAATTTCGAACAATTAATTACTAAAAGACTAGTTACTCTCGTTCTCCTACGTGCAACGCGAAACAACGTTGAAATGAACAATTAATTAAAAAGAAATTATCAAAGAGGAACGAAATACACAATAACGAAGTAACACGTTTGTTCATCGCAGTTGCGCAATAACGTTTTATCATAATTTTTTTTTTTTGGTTTTATCGTTAGCTCTTATCAACTTCGGGGCAACATTGCTAAAACAAAGAATCTTTTCAGACGAAAGACAATTTTTCATACAATCATCTTTAACATTTGGCATAGCCTTTGAATATTTTGGTTATCGTCGCAAACTGCTTGTTCGTTTCATGTAGATTCTTGCGCTGGATTAATTTTATCAATAAAAATTAATAAAATTAATCCAGCTAAAATAATATATACTCTGTTTTCATTTTAAGAAATCTTCTCTGATAAATTGCAAATAGGCAACATTAATTGAACGCTTTCAATTACGTCAAACGTGAGGAAAAAGAAAATGGAAAATTGGAAGATAAAATAATATAAGTGTAGCTCTTATTTGAGCTAGAAATCCTGTACAGAAAACGATACGTAGCATCTGTATTTATTCAGAGGGAAAATGGTACAGATATCTTTTAGCTTTTATTTATTTGTGGTCAACATTCCTCGTTTCGTTATTTTAACCTCGTTAAAGCACGTGCGTTCGAGTGAATGAAAGGAAACTTGAAAGTTCACGCACATTAATCGATCAATCATCGAATTTGAATATCTATCAGGTATAGGTGCTCCGACTAAGATTAATGGATCATTTTCAGCTAATTCATTTTGTTAGCGTTCATCTGATTAACGAACACATTTTGTAGGTGTTTAGTTTGTACCTAGTTTGTGCGTTTCGCACAACAAACACAAAGGAATCGTGCAAACGACCACTTGTACGTTCGATGACACAACACGTTGCATTTCGAAAACTCAAGTGAAGCCAAATTTTGTTTGCCCTCTTTTCTAGGGACATTGACAAAAGCATCAGAACGGGAATCATTGTTGATTGACGGAGGAAATTTGAATAGACCAACGGAAAGGAAAGAGGAAAAGACGGCTGTCCAAGTATCGACAAAAATAACATTCGAATGAAGCACGTTGCATTGAGAAGAAGGGAACTTTCTGCAGGACAAAGGGCAAGAACAAAGAAGGGGAAAGGAAACGCGCACCAGCCTTCGACAAATATACCGGAAATTTAAACGTGCGAGGGATTCCATCAACTTCGATCGACCTTGAGCCATCTTGCCATTAAAGAAACCGCAATCATGATACACCGTGGAAACGTACGATCGATACATTGCATCAAACCGGAAATGCGTCTCGCTTCTTTTACAAATATATTTCAATTGCCTTATCGATCGCCGATTTGAAAAGTGAGTACTCTCTTAAATTACGTCGACGTCGGTTTCCAATCGTTATCGTTTCGTTTCTTTTTTTTTTTTTTCTTTTTTTTCGTAGTTTTCAATCTCATTTTCGTCAGTGAAAAGATTAAAACTGGAAACGTCTGTTTATCGATATACGATGTACTTGAAAAATAACCAAGAGGAGTTGAATTGTCGCTATTCTAATATAGAAAACACGGACTCACGATGACACCGTTTCTAAATGATAAAGTCTCTTGTATTTCTTTGGCCAAACTTGCGTTCCGGTATAACGCGAATCTTTCTATTCACTTTGGTTTTCCTATGATGACTCGCGACTTTATTGATCATTCCATTTACAATTCATGAGTATTTAGGCAATCGTTTTCAACTTTCTACCGTGTTTCTCTCGAAACGTGACAAATCATCGGCGAGTCAAGAGACCCTAAATCGGTACGTCGTTCGATCCTTCTCGCAATACCGAGAATCGCTCGAAGCGAAAAATCGGCGAACGCTTGAAACACGTAGGAAGTGCTAAACGTTGCGAATTACGTACATATGTATATGTGCTGTATATGTATATATATATATATTTTTTTTTTAATCGAATCGATTGGAGATTTTTTTAAGTAAGTATTATACACTGTGGTAGGTCGGCGCGGCGGATGGACGTGGTAGCAGCTGGAAAGTCCGAACACGGAGGAAAGAACGAACTGGGAATCCGTCGTCATCGGCGTCGACGCCGACGAAGAAAACGACAACGGAAGAAGAGCGAGACGCGTCACGGCGAATCAACAGTGGTTTTGGAATCGTGCAAGCGAGAGGAGAAAAAAAGAAGATTACTTGGAACGCGTCTCTGTGTTAGCCGTTAGCTGGTGCTCCCTTCTCTTTTTCTCTTTTAACTCGTCAAGGCGTTAGTTTTTCCACGTTCGTCTCGTCAAACCAAACTGTTTTCTGTTTCTCCTTCTTCTTTCTTTTTTTTTTTCTTTTTTTTTTCTTTTTTTAATATCTCGCAAAGCGAAAACAAGCCAGCCTAACGCGAATATCACCACCGATGTCCGATTTATGTCTACCTACGCGTTTCAACGATCGTAACGCGTGTGCGGTTTGACCTAGTGCAATTTGGTTATACGAAATTTTTTGGTATATAAATCATCAGATCGCGGGAGAGAGTGTACTTCTCATTGTTGGTTGATTGTTGGTGCAAGTGAGGATAAAAATTGGTGTTAGTGCTGTTTTGCTGCGACGAAAGGATTTTTGGTTGCAAGATGATACTACTTGGAACGACTCTGATGGTGATGTTCACTGTGATGGTTACAGGAGCACCGCGATCTTCGGTGATCTACGCGGACGACAAAGTGGTGAGTCGACCAAACACGATTCTTCATAACCTGTGTGTAGAATAATTAACTCGTAATTAGTACGTAGCCAGCGCGCTTACAGGGCATAGTAGTCAGTATTTTTCAAGCGCTTACAAGCGAACTCGTGGCTCGTAATTTAACGTTTATCAAAATGTCGCGACTTTTTCTTCCTTAGAAATTAATCACCCTTCGTTACTACACTTACAAATATTCAAGAAAATCTGTTAACATTCACTTGGAAAAACTTATCAAAAATACAGTTTTTTAAAGACATTGTTTAAACAAAAGGTTGTTTTGCAAAACGGTATACACCATTAAATTTGTCGTTAAAAAACACTATTTTCAGCAATTTACACGAAAACGGTATCTTCAATCATTTCCGAGATATTTAACAAAATATGTTTCGCACCCCCAACTTTGAGGGTACCTTTCACCTCTTCGACACTGACCATTAGAAACATACGGGTCGAATATTTTTTTTTTTTTTTTTTTTTTGAAAACTACAATCGTGCCAAATTTGTTAATTGATATTATATCAAGTGTAGAAATGCCGAATAGGTAACCAAGTATGACAGAATTAATTTCAGAAAGCACGCACGCGTATTTCTATGATTCACTATACGTGACTGTAGCCTTCAATATTCTATTGCAACAAGATAAATCTCCGCCTAGTACGTCACACGTGATGTTTAAAAGTTTGCGTTAATAGCTGGAGCTTTGCATATTTAAACAGATCTTGAGAAATGGATTAACTCGATTAGAACATTACGACTCATTTGCATAGCAGATAAGTATCTGTTTTGTAAATTTGCTAGATAATGCTTATTTGCGTGGAATGTAGCCATACCATTTTGGCTGCGACATAAGTTAAGACCAAAGTGAGTAAATAAGTTGGTAAACAGGTAGTTTGATACTTTTCTGCAGCGGATAAAAAGCTGCATTGACCGACCCTTGTCAGTTAGTGGCAGCATTATTGCCGGTTGAAGTGACGAGGGTTACCACAGTCAAAAGTAATTCATGAAAGGGTACAGAGTTTGTTACGAAGAATATGCCTGCTTTGTAATTACCATTTTAACTCTTTGACTGCCCCTTCTCGAGGGGATATCGTACTTAAATCTAGCCAACAGGTCGAACTTCTTTTTTTTGTAATTTGCTGATAATTATAACGAACGTATATACATTCGGTGTTGCACGATATCTGAACAGACACTTAAAGTGAAAGCTATAATAACGAAGTAAGAAGAACAAAAGAATCTCGGAAAAAGAAATTTCCGAAGACAGTTATGAATCAATTGACACTCAATAATTCATATAATTCGGAATAGTTCGCCTAAACTAGATTTCTCGTTGCTTCTTAAATTAACGAAAGTTTAAAAGATGGTGGAGGATATTATTTTTCCAGAGACTGAAACTATATATCGTTGATTCAAGTATATTGTACATGCACGTTGATGATTGCTTTAAATTTAAACGATAGAAAACACGCTAGAAAAATACAATGAAGGGGGTCTTCTAGTGTGAAGTGCGCGATTTTTAGCACTTTTTTGGGAATTTTTTTCCAAAAAAACTATTATATCTTTTGCAATCAAATTGACAAGGTTTATTTGCACGTATTTCAACGACGTTTTAAAATTTTTTTGGAACAAAACAAGTTAAAACCAGTGGCACTGCATACTCTCAAACATAGACGCGTTTTTTTAAAAAAATGGCGTCTGACGGTGTCTACGATTCCGGCCATTCTGCTTGTCTGAAATAAAAAAACGCGATAGTTTCTTAATTTGTATAGATTCGGCCATAGCCGGAACTAGAACTATAGAGAAATGTCCGTAATTAAAAAATTGGATTACTTTGAATTTCGATTATCGATTTTTGCGTGTTTTTGTCATACTTCGCAGGCCAAAAAAAATATAAAGAATAAAAATTTTTGGTTGATTCTGGTAGGGGCTGTAGTCACACATGTATCAAACGCGTACATAAAATTTTGATTCAATTAGTCAAGTAGATGTTGAGATATCATGGACACCGTTCTGAAAAACATAGTTTCCAGAAAAATGCCTTTAAAGTTTAAAGGTAACAAGACACTGGACGTTGCGTCCTTCATACACCCATAACTTCGTTAATTTTAAAGCTTCACACATAAGATTCCAGAGATGCATTTTTAAAACTATATCCTTTAAGAATATGCAAAAAAAATCGATTTTTTTTAAATTTCACACCTCCTAAAAGACCTCAACAAAATCTCGTGTTAAATATTCGTTTGAATGATTATTTCCGATGCGATGTCATTTTATTTGGAGCGATGCTTCGTAAATAAATTGCTGGTAGATGATACGAAAAAAAAGTTTGTCGAGGGCAAATGGTTAAAGTCTAAAGACGCGTGACACTCTGGCTGACTGACTGACTTTTACACGGAATTGGTTAATGTTGAGAGCGAGGGTTGAAGCCTCGGGCGAAAGGAAACGTAAGAAGCAGAACCAACACACAGAATACGAATTCGAGGACCACGAGTGTTGTTCGTTCAAGGACGGTTGATCAGCGGTTTAAGGCAAACACCGCGCACGCTTTGCTCTTATTCGTATCTTGTGTTCAGCACAAATACGTATTTCTGCGGGTGGTTTGTGTCGAGGGAATGATCAGAGATTATCTTCTACGAACTTTGTTGCGCGCACACGACAGTAGCGAATATTAACGCAGCGTTGACGAATCAAAGTTGATTGTCGCGCCAATGGTAAAAGTTTATCTAACGGGTGTAGCTGTCTGTTTCGCAGGTCGAACAATTGATTGCAACGCGATTACGTAAAGTGTGTTCAACCTAGATGGCTTAATGTTCAAGCTTACAAGCTCTTCGGTTCCCTTTTCTTCGCGTGATTCTCGAATGCGTGTACGTGGCATTATTTCGTGCGTGTGTCATAAACGGAGCCAGTTTGTGAATATGTAGTGAGACGATGACTAAGAGGCAGGGTCGATTCCGCGTACAAAAGTCGCGCACATATATCGACTGCGTGTTTTCAGACGTAGCGCCTGCGTCGTTGACTTACACACAACCCTCTTTCGTGCGTAACTGCTTCTTTTCCTCCCTTTCACCCGTTTTCGTTTCTTTTTCTCATTTCTTCTTTCCTCCTTAACTCCAATAGTGTACACAAAGTATATCGCGAATATTTTAGAAACGATTAATCTTTAACCAACCTACGCTTCTGCAGCATCTTGGCGTGTTTTCCTTCTCTCGATTGATCGACGCGAATAAAATATCTTCACGACCGGTTACCGCGTGCAAGAGAAACGAAATTACAGATTGCTGAGAGAGAGACGAGGAATTATTAGACACGTATCGATGATACACGTGTAGATGATGATACAATAACAGATGATTCGTGGTGGATTCAGTGGGTGCGAAACAGGCTTAACGGGCGTCGCGAGTATCGCGGCTCGTGAATCCCGCTAGGAGAGAGTGGATTTTATCAGTGGGGGCCCGGAGGCCTTCGGTCTTACTTCGAAACCATTAAGCCAGAGGCATTTATATGCAATCGAGGTCGTTAACTGCAGGAAGCGCCGGCGCGTATACAGAATGCTTCGGCTGTGTGTCAAGATGTGACACACGCACTTGTGCCCTCTGCAGATAAGTACGTACACATGTGTCTGGTCATATTCTTCGACTCGGAATGTATTAACCTGCCTTGCTCCAAAATGCCAAGCATTTTTTTTTTTTTTTTTTTCGAACGACGGACGATCGATTTTGACAACTGTTTTGAAATCAGTTACGTACTCGGAATCTAGGAGTCTCGGATGTTGCAACGACAGATTGGAACACATAGTCATAGGCGTAGTACATGCATGTGTGCTTACATGCACGCGTATTTATGTAGGTTACGTTGGCATGTACGCAAGCAACGCGTCTAGACGATAATCAAGGGAGGGCACGTGTCTGTCGTCGCCCGTCGCCCGTCGCCCGTCGCGTCGCGTCGCGTCGCGTCGCGTCGCGTCGTTTCGTTTTGTTCCCGTCCACTTTGAGCTTGACGAGCAGGCGCGGCACTGCACTGTGAAAAGTTTCCAGCACCGAAGAACACTTTACACTTTAGATTTTAGATCGTAGCTCTTTTTCTCGTTTAAGACATTCGAAGAAAAGCGACGGATAAACATTGAGAGAAACATTGCTTCCTGTTCCGAATTTCCTGAAATACGTGGAGCAGAGAGAATGTTATTGTTACACTGCTGTTCCTTTTGTAACAACAAAATACAAAATTGTTATTGCTGAATTGAGAACGATTTCGTCGACGTGCGTGGACGTACTACGTGTGTGTATATATGTATGTATGTATGTGTGTGTGTACGTATGCACGTGCAATTGCGGCGAACGTGGGATCGAGCTGTTTCTAATGAAACAAAGTTCCCTCGCAATTACCGTTGGCCCTGAAAACTCGATGCAATTTCCTTCGGCAAATTCGTATAATTTGCCCGACACTTTCACGTTTGTAATCTACGTGTTCTGAATTTTTCCTCGAATGAATCACGGTACATGGATGAACAATATTTTCTGTTACTTCGGAGTAACAGTCCACGGCTCGTAAATACCAGGTTGCTTTCACGTTGGTAGCAACAACAAGTGGAATTTGATACGAGTATAATCTTATAACGCGATTAATAACTAGCAATAGGTGAACGATACCTATCGAATATTGTCATCTCACTGTTCGACGATCGGTCGTAAGATCGACGGCTGGCAGAGACGCAAGGAATAACCTTAGATTTCTGTATTGGATCCGTGCGAAACGACCAGTCTGGCGTAATTAGTAACACATGTGGCGAGCCAACTCCACCCGTCGCGTCGATAGAGTCTGCCAGTCGGAGAAAACTATCCCGATACGTAACCCCGTCGGGATAACCAAGTGAACTGCGAAACCCGAGAAAACGCTAATGCGTGAAAAATCGATCATCTCGCTTCTACTTTATATCCTATATTCGACAAAGAAAGAAAAAGATGCTCTCGAAGTCTCGTCAAAGAA